TTAGTTTCTATGTTTGCTGTGAGCTGTTGTCCTGTTTGGTCTGTTTCTGCTCCTCCATGATGTCACAGACACTACCTGTGGACGGGATGGGCGGGGCTTAGTTTGGTGATCTTATTCAAGTCTATAGGTGCAACTTAAACAACTGCCCCTGTTGACCATTACTCAGAATGCAGGTTTTGCAGCAGAGGCTAAAATTATGTCTTATTTAAATGTAGATTATTTGCAGCCTGCAAACTGTCTGGAATAAATGTTTTTGTAGATGTTTCACAGGTTTAACATTAAAAGAATCCAAAATGTTTTCCTGCACAGGATCATGTACGCGCTGCCATGACCTGCATCAGATTCTTTTCCCACGGAGCGACTTCATACCTGCAGCTGGGAGATCAGCAGGTCTTCTACACTTTCCTTCTGAAAACTAGCCTTTGCTTGTTGTGAAGTTCTCCATGAGCCTGACTGTAAACCTGACTGTGTGCAGCGCTGGCTGGTCAGAGCTAAAGAGCACCTGAGGACATACCTGCAGGAGCAGCAGGGTCGAGGTGCTGGCAGGAGGAAGTCTGCCGTCAACTCTTTCAGGAAGATGATGTCATCAAGTGATGTGTCCAGGTTAGTGGATACAACTGCATGTTCACTAAAACCAAGGCTTTACAGATTTTCACGTTTAGTCTTCTCTACTTGTACTTTTTTCAGGCACATGAATACAATAGAGCTCCAGCTAGAAGTGACTCGTTTCCTGCATCGCTGTGAGAGTGGGGCATCTTCTAAAGGCCCACAGACCAGCTCAGTCTCCTCCAAGTCCTCTCAGTCCAGTCCTCTGCCCACACTCTTTGGTGGAAGCCCAGTGAAGATTGAGGTGGCTTGCAAGGTGACGTTCTGCTTGTTTCATCACTTCCTGTTTTTAAAGGTTCATATTCTTCTGAAGAAAGTGTGGTTTGTTTAGAGCAGAGGGTCCCACCCCTGGTCCTCACAGACCCCTGTCCAGCATGTTTTCTGTCAAATCAGGGAAACATCTAAAAATCACTGCTTCAGATGTTCACCAACACCTCAGAGCTTCATCAGACATAATAAAAAATATAATATTGACTCAGTTTTATATTTTTTAGTGTTACCTCTGGAAGCCATTGATTCTTTGCCATTTCTTTTATACTGGGCGGCCGTGGTGGAGTGGTTAGGGGAGTCCTCCTGGAACTGGAAGGTCGCCAGTTCGATCCCTCTGCTTTCCAGACGTTTCAGTCGTTGTGTCCTTGGGCAAGACACTTCACCTGCCTTGTGTACTGGTGGTGGTCAGAGGGTCCAGTGGCACAGCATGGCAGCCCCACCTCTGTCAGTGTGCCCCAGGGCAGCTGTGGCTACAGTGTAGCTTACTATCATCAGTGTGTGAATGTGTGTGTGAGTGAATGATGCATGAAGAATTGTAAAGTGTCTTTGAGGGTCTTGAAAAGCACCATATAAGACTAATGCATTATTATTAGTAGTAGTATCAACATTTGTGAGTCTGAAGTGTCTCAGTGTTGGTGGGGTTGTCAGTTAAGATGTGGTTTTTGGAGGGCAACAAAATAACGTGCACAGCTTAAAGAGTGACTAAACCCCAAATCTTAGTCTTAATTGTGCCTTAATGGTTGTGGCTTCAGGAAATGGTTAAAGTCACTGATGATGAAGACGTTAAGAAGCTAACATTCAGTTCTGTTTTCTACTGAARTGGCTRAAAAAAGAAAAGTCGAAAGGCCAATTCCACCTAATTTTTCACTACATTGAGAATATTTAACCTGATCTAGTTTAAAAACTAAAATATTTATACACTTCAAACCTGTACTGGATTATTCTACACTTACAGCAGAGTATATAAAGCCCAGTTGKTGATTTGTGACACCTTTATTAGATATTTGAAACTTTAATAAAGATTGTTCCCACCTGGATTYATCTCTGTCTGAAAACCAGATGTTAGTGCCAGATGTGAACAGGGTTTAAAATCTGTTCTATTTTTATTTTTTATGATGTTTCAGGTGATGCTTGGAGGAAAAAACATAGAGGAAGGGTTTGGAATYGCTTACAGAGTCATACAGGTATGTTCCTACATGACCTGAGCCTTTTATCTTTTAAATGTTACTGTCTGCCTACATGTCAAGAGATTCATCAAAGGGCCAATATTATCTCTTTCTCAGGCTTATATTTAAGTTCTATACCATAATAAAGTATCTGTCACCTTTAATTGTTATTAAAATGCTGTTTTTATGTTTAAATAGAAAATAAACTCTTCTTCCAACCAGTGGTTTGTGCTCTCCTGCCTGCTGCCTCAGGACAGCACAGGGTTTATCAAACCTGCATGAATGAGTCAAAGTTAGACTCTGGACATGTTTTTGATGAGAGGAGAACATTATAACATGATATAAAACTAAAATATGTTGATTTTACATGATATAGACAACGCTTCATTTCTCCTGAAGCAATTCAGTTAAAAACAAATGTCTGTTAAAACGGCATGCTTAGTATAAATGTCAAAAATATACAATGATATGCAATAATATGATGAACAGGTTTGTTGGTACCCTTTAAACCAGGGCTTCTTAACCTTTTTGACCTCAGGGTCCAGTTTGTTGAACATAAAGTGACACGAGGTCCAGTCAGACATTACC